AGGACGTTAATAATAACATTAAATATTTTCATCTACTTACTAAGTTGAGCTTCTGTCTTTTGAAGATCGTCTCGAGTTTTCTTTAATTCCGATAATATGCGGGGATGGGACAACGCATCCAACTGGAAACAACAGTAACATGATAGCGATTAACAACTAACGAATATGTAAATAATGGATAATTAATAAAACACTTCAAAAATAATAACATAATAATAATAATAATAAAACAGTGTGACACGAATTCGAAGATGTAGAATTCACGGTATCTAATTTATTTTTGGGAGTAGCTTCTCGAACAGAGCAGGTGAGAAATTCCACGATTCTATGATACTTTAAGCTAAGATTGTTTGTTATGAATTTTGCGCAAAGCTACACGAGGGCTATCTGCGCTAGCCGTCCATAAGTTAGCAGTGAAAGACTAGAAGGTAGGCAGCTAATCATCACCACCCACCCCCAATTCTTGGGCTACTCTTTTACCAACGAATAGTGGGATTGACCGTTACATTTTAACACCCTCACGACTGAAAGGGTGAGCATGTTTGGTGGGACGGGGATTCGAACCCGCAGATTGCGAGTCGATCACCCTAACCACCTGACCATGCCGGGCCCTTAAGCAAAGAAAGCTATTTTTTTTTTTAAACTCTGAAATAATCTGAATTATTATTGTTTAATTAAACTGTATACTCTAGGCCTGGTGGTTAGAGCGTTCAACTCTCAATCTGCAGATCGCAGGTTCGAATCCTGTCATTGAACATGCTCGCTCTTTCAGACGTGGGGGGGGGGTGTTATAATGTGACGGTCAATTCCACTTTTCGTTGGTAAATGAGTAGTCTAACAGTTAGTGGTGGGTTTTGGTGTTGTTGTTGACTAGTTGCCTTCCCTCTAATCTATCTCTTTAAAATTAGGGACGCCTAGCGCAGATAGCCACCGAGTAGCTATGGGCGAAATTCCAGAAACAGACTATACTTTAACTGCGATTTATGAGAACAATAAAAAAATTCGTCTGTCTCTATTCGTTTACTGGATCCGTTGAGAGT